TGAAACCATGGAGCCTGAAGCTCCAGCAAATGACTTCAAAGATGCCTTATTTCTCTCAGTTACTTGGTAGATTTTGGTATGTCTTAGTCTTGGTTTAACTACTTTTTGCCTGTGGAGTATGATTTATCCTTTAAAGAGTAGAAAAGACTCTTTCACCAAAGTCTAGCTCTTTCTTTAAAAGGAATTCAATTTCTTAAAAGAATGTATGCTGTAATATTGTGCTGTCATGGTTTAACCTGGCAAGCAGCCAAACACCACACAGCTGCTTGCTCAATCTCCCCTGCTCTGGGGAATAGGGGAGAGAATTGGGGGGGTAAAGGTAAGGAGACTCGTAGATTAAGATAAAAACAATTTAATAAGTTAATTAAAATAATAATTATAATAATTGTAATAATAGAATATACAAATGAGTGATGCACAGTGCAGTTGCTCACCACCTGCCAACCAGTGCCCAGCTTATTCCTGGCTAGCAATCCTGGAGGAGAGAAAATCCCAAAACCGCAGCTCCGGAAGAGAGAGGATTCTGGCCAACCCTCATTTATATACTGAACATGACGTTGTATGATATGGAATATCCCATTGGCATATCCAAATGCCAGTTTGGATCCATTAATCATACTATGTTCCCCCCCACCTTCTTCTGCACCTGCACACTAGCAAAGCATAGGAAGTTAGGAAGTCCTTGATTTCTTAGCAACTAAAAACATCAGTGTATTATCAATACTCTTCTCATACCAAATCCCATACTAAATCCAAACCACAGTGCTATTCTAGCTACTAAGAGGAAAATTAACTCTATCCCAGCCAAAACCAGGACAGGTGCATGATGTTTGACTCTGGCAGTGTAAGTTGTCTTTTGGTTTAACTAGCATTTAGAGACACCTTATGACATGTTAATAAACTTAAAATTTTAGAAGTAGTTATTTCATCCTATGTTCAAGTCTTGTTCTCTGCAGACAATGAAAACAAAATAAAATAGACCCGACTCACATTTCAGTGAATTCTCTGGCCTCATGAATAGTTACAATTAATGTGGAAATTGAGAGGACTTAAACCATCCTGGATCTTTGCTCTGAGGTTTGACTTTTTTAGAACTATCAAGTATGATATAATGTAAACATAGAGTGTGTGCTAGAAAGAAGCTGCCTATTTGTCATTTTCTGTGAATCTTTTTGTAATGGCTTATCTTCCTTGTTCACAGTTGATGTCTGGTTAGTTGTTGTGTTTGGATTCTCTATTCTGCGGCTATAAAATGATATAATTGACAGTAAGTGGGTAAGAGTACAGACTTATTTTTGATGAAAACAGAATGTTCTGGAATCGAGTTTCTGTTCAGGCAAGTAAAGGTTTTCAGAACATTTATTTCAAAGAAGAGGAGCTTTCCTCCAAATGTCTGCTTCTGGCAGGATGCGATGGGCTGAGGAGGAGCGTGGTGCTGGCTGGATGTGCTGGCTGCTGGAATACTGCACAGGGCTGGCTCTGCCATGCCTGCCAGTACCAAGAACACAGTGAGGCTTTTTGAATTGCTGTTCAGAATGTTTCCCTGTAGGAATGCTACAGGATGGGATTAATGGGATTAATTCTAGGGTTTTTTTGCTGCTTGAGGTGTAAGAGGAGGCAGTTCTTCATTCTTGAGAAGTATAAGTACAGAAAATATTGTTGACTGGAAGTCCTTAGAGCATCTAGGACATTTTCCCATAAGCTGTTAGGGTAATGTTCACATCAGGTTAAGAGTGCACTTGAGACATGTCATCTTTTCAGGGAGGGAGCTGAGAGACACTTGACTGCCCAAGAGGAGGTTTGATAGTGTGTATGTTATTTGTTCCTCTCATCTGCTTCCTGTATTCCTGTGTAATGCTTCCTCTTGTTCAAAAGCAGTATAGCATTTCCTCAGGAAGCTCTTCCCAGAATTTTCATCTTCTAAATGGTACCAGTGGCAAACTAAAAGTCTTTCTTCAAAAAGTAAACACCCTCATGTATTTTCTTTTATTAATATATTTTTTCATATCAGGCTTGTCTGACTGGTACTATAATTATGGTACTGCCTTTAGGAATAATATGGAGAACAGCTGTAACAAATGCACAAATGTGTTTAGGGGAGTTGTACTGTATGGCAGGGATTGGTTATTCATTTATATTCTGAAGGAGAAGCTGTTTTATTCAGAGCGCTCAGAAAACGCTCGTGGAAACTTTAATGGAATTAGGACAGCTGGTCTAGCAGACTTTGAAGTCTGCAACACAGCCGGCCGGCTGGCATTCCCAGTGCCAACTGGCTCAGTAGCAAGTAGAGATGGCAACTGTGACTTTGGCTTAGGAAACCCTGTATATATAGAAGATGACTTGATGACAGGCAAGACTCAATAAATCTGATGACATAATTGAACTCTGTTACCCAGTGTTTAGTCAGTTGGGATTAAACATTCCCCTACGTTTTCAATTTATATTAATTTTTTTTTTTTTTCTTCACCACAAGAACTTAGTGTCTTCCTCTCATTTAGTATCTTCTTTTGGAGTATCTGTCAAGGACATTATTGTAACAGATGATTGAATTAGATTTCAGCTACTGTATGTCATTGGTGATCTTTAGTCATTGTCAAATTTCAAATGAAATGTCATCTGGAAGTAAGTCATATGCAAAGCTACAAGAGTTTGGCTCTGCATCTGTCAGTAGACTTTGTGAATAATCAGATTTCCTGAGAGGCTGTGAATTTCTCACTTCATTGACTGATTCTTTGCCTCATAGTACAAAAATAGAGAAGGAGAAAAAAGAGCATGCTAAGCTGCATGGCATGATCCGTACAGAAATAAGTGGAGCTGAAATTGCAGAAGAGATGGAGAAAGAAAGAAGGTTCTTCCAGTTACAGATGTGTGAGGTAAGATTCAACATGAAATGCATATTGTTCTGCTAACATTTTCAGGAAAATTTTGAAAAACACAATTGTTTAATGGCAACTGTGATTTTAAAGGGAAATGCCAAGTTATTAGTGGACTCCGTTTGTTAAAGCAATTTTTTTTTATCCTGATGTGCTAACTTTGGGAATTTAGATCTTTTCTAATTTCACCTAACAAGTAAATTATAGATTAAATAAATGATGCAAAGCTCCATTAAACACTAAAAAATGATAATAAATAAGCTGTTACACTACTACTTCACTATAAGTTATTTTTAGCCCTAGATCATTCTCTGAATTGTTCTCTACACTGACAGCTGTTGCGTTATTATGAGGAAGGACTCCAGTCTAGCACAGTGTTGGGCTGGTGCTGAAAAAAAAAGTGCTAAGGATGGAATCCAGTTGTCTTTCAAGATGTTTCAGAATGTTTCTACTTTGAAATCTTTGTGATTTTGCAGTATGTTAAATCTGATGTGAATATTTTTGGTTCGATTTGTCAGGTTCCATGGTTGGAAATTCAAATTGCTGTGTTCATTCTTTCTATGCATTAACTCAAAAATATACCATGGGTGTTTCTTCTGTTTTCACTCTGATTATTAGAGATAATTTGACTCATATGCCAACATAGCTTACCAGCAGTTGTCCTGAATACCAACTTTAGTAACTGCATGCACTGATACTTAATAGAAATGCTTCAAATTTCTATATGGAGTCAGACTAAAGTATTCAAAACTGATGAAGGGATTTGAGTACCCAATAAACATATGGATGTTGCCAGCTAATTGCCCATCTGTATCCTTCCTAAGAAATAACCAGGAACAGATGCTTCTCTCTTCCTGTGTCACAGTAAAGGAGAAGTTCACTTTAGTCAGTTGTAGTGATAATGAAATGCACGATGAAGTCTCTGAAACTGGATCAAGTTACCTTAAATATGGAATAGCTGAAGTGTATCCTGCATTTCTTCTGATTTTGGGGAATATAAGTTTGTACTCAGTTACCTCTGAATAGTCATAAAAGGGGACTTTGGTTCAGTTTTGTTAGTAAATCAGAAGTGTTCATATTGAAGTTGTATCATAAGTACAAACTACTTCTCTCTAAATTGTGAAAGTAAACTGGAAACCAGATGCCTGGATCTCCATTTTAAATTCACAGGAGCTAGAGAGGTGATTCTTCTAAATAAATACTATCCAGTGTACATGTCTACATTTAGGCTAATCTCTGTTTGCCTGAACCAGCATAAAAAGCTGCAACATTGAAAGCTGGCACTTGGATACTGCGTTATTTTAGTGGGTTTAAAACATTTAGGGTAGGGGAAAACCAGATACATTAGAGCATTGCTAAGAAGACATTTGCTTCTTTGCTTGGAGGTCACTGTCTGAGCAGAGGTTAGAAATTGTCATCATTTAATGGACAGTTCAGGACTCCTGTAAATATTTGATCAATCAAACTTCTGGTTGCATGGCTGGTATCTTTTGTGCTATGGCATTCAGGGGAGGAGCTGCCACTTAACATGGATTTTCATTGTGCCTAATACAAAGGGACACTAATTACACTTTTTTTTTTTTTTTTAGCTTGACAGTAGATTTTTTTTAATCACTTACTAAACTGTAATTTGCTGTAATTACCATTTATAGACACTTGATAGAGGAAACGATCTTACTAAACTGTAATTTGCTGTAATTACCATGTATAGACACTTGATAGAGGAAACAAAATCAGAAGGCAAATTTAAAAAATGGTTAAAATAATACCTCACTTTTTTGAGTAAACTGCTTTCTTCCTTAATGACATTTGTTTAGCAATGAATTTAACAACTAGTGAGACAGACACCTAGATGGGCTGATAGGTTTAAGAATGGGCTCCTAAATTTACTGCACAAATTCTTTTATACTTCCTTTAACACTGGCTTCCACTAGGAGCCATGAAGGAAGTTTTAACAATTTGAATTAATCATAGTGAAGTATCCCCACAGAGTATAAAAAATCAGTGATGGTAACAACTGCTTTTATGTGATTAACCCTTGGAGCCACTGTTTGATGTATTCTCTTCTAGGTCTTCTAAATCTGCAACTGTTAAAGCTTGTTGAAATGTAACTGAGCATAAAGTGTTAAAAAATACTGTAGCAATGATAATTAATTTCTTTTGTGAATTATTATTTTAACAGTACCTCCTGAAAGTCAATGAAATCAAGATTAAAAAAGGAGTGGACTTGCTTCAGAACTTGATCAAGTATTTTCATGCTCAGTGCAAGTATGTTTTAGTTTTCTTTATACCTATGCAATAACTGGAACAATGTTTTGTTTTAAATTTTTGACACCATCATAACACTTTTCTAGATTTTTCAAAATAAATCTAAGAGTCAACTGTTCTCGCTGATGTCTTTTGACAAATTGCTTTTGCCATAGATTAGTCATTGGTTTTGTTACTGTATTCTGAAACACGTAACAACGTTGAGCTGCTTCCATAGAGTATAATTGTCTGCTCCAAAGGAGTGCTGCACAATGATTTGGCATATTTCATAAACTCCTCTTGAAACAGAGCTGTTAGTTTGGTCTATTAGTTACTGGTCCATTAGTTTTGATGGGCTTTTTTGAGTGTATCTAGCAATGATCTAAATTAATTCTATGCTCAAGAAAAAGATTGAATCAGCAGTGGGATAAAACTATATTGAAAGAATCACTCTTTTTTCTAATTAATTGGAGGACTCAGTGATAAAACACAAAGCTCTTATTAGAATGATGTACTTTTTTTATAGCAGTCTTACAGATTAATAATATAGCAATGAAGTCATAGCTATAAACTTAAAAGAGCCGCTGTTAACCTCTTCAAATCAGTACGTTTTCATCTTCAAAGTCCAGTCTGCATCTATGTAGGTTTTTTCCCTATATAGGTGTGTGATTTTAAAATCAGTTTCACTTGTACTATGTCATTCATCTGCTCCGTCCATTTAATAAAATTTTGACAACACAAATGCTGTATTGTGTTGTCATCTTCTGTCTGCTTCCCAGAGTGAAAATATTTTCAGTTGCAAATGGTGCAGCAGTTTTTAATCAAATACGCATGTGGTTGTAGTTTCTTTATATTTTTTTTTTAAATCCTACTTTTTATTTTTAAGAGCTGAAATACTTGGCATTGATAACGTTACTGCCCCAATACAGAAATCCATATGATACAGTAAGATGTAGCATATTCAGTTTGCGTATAGGCCATAATTAATGCATGGGAAACAAAGGGGTTTTCCTTTAGTAGGAAGATTGCATCAGGTGCGAAATTATGGGGCTCCAAGAAGTCACAATGCTTTTATATCCACTAGAGCTTTTGCTGTTCTACAAATGAGTCTTACTTGTTCTGGGCCTTCAAAAAGTGGGATGAGAACCTGTATTTGAGGTGAGAATGAGGAAAATTTACGTGGGAGTGGATTGTGGCAGTTCTGAATCTAATTGGGGGTTTTACATGTTAGAATAAGCTGTGATGGAAATAGAGGTGGATTAGTCAAAGATGCAGGAAAAAAATGTTCAATGTTTTGAAGTTTATGACATGGCATAATAATATGCACGTCTTCCTTTGGCAACTTTTTAAACAAAAAATACAGAGCAAAGTTTAATAACAGTTTTCTTTTTCTTTTTAAGTTTCTTTCAGGATGGGTTAAAAGCAGTTGAAAGTCTCAAGCCTTCAATTGAGACACTCTCAACAGATCTTTATACAGTGAGTAGCAACCTTTCACATTTGTGTTGTAAACTTATTTTTTTACAGTAGAACTGTGATTTTTTTGGTTCAGGTTGGCTTACTGTTTTAATAGTCAACATTTTAAGATCTTTAGTATTTTTTGAGTAAAATTTTGTTTTAGTATCGTATCCAGAAGCCTTATTTTCAGTTCAGGATGCTGCTGTGTAAAATGTTAGGAAAACAGCCTTTGCTCTAAAATGTTTACTGACTAAGTGTAAAATAGCATATAGTTTCAAACTGAACACAAGGAAGCAAGAAAAGTGTGAGGCAAATATCAGAGTCTTAACCCAGCAACATTCTAGCCATTATCAAGTTTTCCAAAGATATAAAGAAAAATAAACTGATCACACTATCTTTTCTCTTTGTGTTTTCATTCTTGCTGAACATTTCTCAGAAAAATGAACTAATTAAGTAGCAAGTTTGGAAGATTTGGGTTGAAAAGAAACAATAATGTTATTCTTAACCTGTGTTTTTCTTCATTCAAGATTAAACAAGCACAAGATGAGGAAAGAAGACAATTAACACAGCTTAGAGATATTTTAAAGTCAGCACTCCAGGTTGATCAGAAAGAGGTAAGCATATAAGGTGGTTTAACTTTGGAATACCCATTTTAATTACTTATAATGTAATTTGATGCTGATGTTGAATGTTTTTGACAAAGGCAGGGTTTTTTTAAAATGAATTCCCCCTAAAAATATGTAAGACTTACTGCAAAATAATTTCTTATTGTACCAATACTGCAAAATACTTAAGATGATGCACCGTCTGTGAACTAACGGACAACGGTGTCTATGTTGCTCAAACTGAGAATGGAAGAACTTTGGCAGCATCAAGGAGATCCCTGTAGTACAATCTTATCTCATAATAGTATTCCAAACTGTATAAAGATTATGTAAAACTGAACTTCAAATCCCAGAATACCTCTTGTCATCATCTGCAAAAATGACAATTAAGTTTGCTACTCTGTTGCAAGATGCCAGTTTTCAAACATGCAAGAGCTAGGTCAGTTCGGCAATCTAACAAATAAGTATTTTTTGTGTTTTGGTTATGAGTGCTGTTAGATTTCAATAGTTCTGGAGTAGTTTTATTTGGCAAACTCTGATCTGGAAGCAAGCATCTTTTGTATAATCTAATCCTAAATATTTGGTCTACTTTTGTTTCAGATTGCTAGTGCTTCCTTTTCGTATAAATAAATGCCAGCCAGCTTCCTTTTTGTGGCTGCTGAGCCATGAGTAAATGATGAATGAACCCCCTCCCCCCTTTTCAGATTCTCTTTCTGAGAGGGATAATAATGAAATAGTTTAGTCTGTAGAGCTCAGACTTCCTTGATCTTTTCCGGTCTTGCTTTCGTCTTCCTGTAAAGGTTCTGGTCACTCCTAACTCTCACCAGTGGCCAGATGATGATTGTTGAGCAACCTAATCTGGTGAAAGATCTCCCTGCCCATGGCCTAGGGGTTGGACTAGATGATCTTTAAAGGTCCCTTCCAACCCAGACCATTCTGTTTTCCTGTGACTTGCTGATAGGCATTCCAACACTCTTCACTTTAAGGTGCTGTTTGTTACCATGTGAAGTTTGACCATTGTATACAAAGTCCCATACAGTTTGCAGGCACTTTCTTAGGTTCTGCCTGGCATTTACGACTCACTGAGGGGTGCATTTGCTAAAAACTTCAAAATTTGAGTTTTGTGGAAGGAAAGATTAGTGGTCCTAGTGGAAAAGGTGACTACCTTGGATTCACCATTGTTTGCCCTTTCTCAGTAGGGTCTCAAATAGGTCTCTCAATAGGAAGTCTTTGCTGTTCAGGGTGTGTTAGCAGGCTCCATATTTTATTTGGGTCTTTGTTCAAGTGAGGTAATAGAAACAATTTGGTTTCATAGTTTCTGGGAATGTTGCTTCTCTCTGTTTACCTGTTTATCAGTGATACTGATATTGAATGTATATGGAAGATGTGGTGAGCACACATCTTTTCACAGACTGAAAAAATGTAATAATACACATAAGTTTGTTACTTGAACTGTTTTTGTTGCATTTAAAAATACAAGTGTAAAAAGTGCTTTATGCTATTTTCATTCTTTATTAATTTGGCAAATTTAGATATAGATGTTTACCTGCAGAGCATGAGAAGTACTATAATTATTTTTAAAGTTTTTTGAAAACATCAGTTAATCAGTGGGATGCCAGACAATCCCAGTATAATTTACTGTACAACTCAGTAATATTATTCTTGTTGCACTGTAATTTCCTTTACTATAACTGATTTCTTTTTCCTTCCTGAAATGCATTTACATTTTGTGACCGAAGTCTAGGAGAGTAAGTGTTACTATGTTTTAATGAAAATAGTTGGCATGATTTCCATTCACATTTCAAGAAACTGGATTTTTCCTCTGAGCTTTTTTCTGTTGGTATGAAAAGACTGGTTCTATTTTTCTCCTCTTCTGCTTGTTATATTAAAAAAAAAAAAAAAAAAAAAAGAGAAGTTATATTTTTCTTGGGAAAGAAAATTACTGTATGACAAATTGCTGATTTCCTTTTCACTCTCTTTTGGAAATTAAATCCAGTTGCTTGATTTTTATACTCTTGCAAGAGTTTGCACATACGTGTATTTTTAATTAAAATTTACTTCACGTATGAAGTAATAGAACATTGACAAATATTGTTTCTGTTGTGCTTAAATATATAAAAAAAGACACAAATACTCATAGTGAACCTTTTTTGTTGTGCCTGTATACTTGTGTACATAGTTTCCTCCTGCACAGAACTTCCTCAAACCTGCTTTGTATTGAAACATCTTTTTGAAACATCATGGTGTGTACACCTCTGTAATTTTTAATTTTTAAACTTTTATTTTTCAAACTATAGAGTTCCTGCAAGTTTCGTGGTCAACCTTAGAGTCATATTGCCTTCATTTCTCTCTTCCCGTGTCCTCTCTGAAGGTAGCCTTACTGTAGTGTTTAGAATTGCTTCTGCTTCTCCTAGGTTTGATAGAACCTGTGATCCATTTAGGCTACTGCAAAGTAGGATACGTTGTGTGTTTCTTGACATAAATTACTGTAGCTGTGCTATAGGAGAGGCTGCCTGCAGGGGGTTCTGGCAGATACATCTGTTGGAGGCTCTATGGGGCTGCAATAGATAAGGGATGGATCTTTGAAATGTCCTCTTGGCAATGGTCCTGCAAATACAAGAAAAGTTTAGGCTGTTGGAGAGCTGTAAGGGCTTTTTGGCAGCTTTACCCACAGGAGTGATCCGAACAGTCTAAAATCCTGCTCCATGGGAGCTGTGGAATGGCTAGCCAGAATCTACCGTGTGTAAGTTAGAGCACACGGTATGGAAAGTTCTGTTGTGTTCAAATAGTGGAGCTGATAAATAGGTTTTTAGAATCTCTCTTATCAGTAGTCACAGACTGTTTTCACATTTCTTTCATTTTTAGCTATGCTATTCAGTTTGATTTAGAAGTCAGCCATTCTTTATAAGACTTTGGAAGAAATCATTTCAAAGCTCTTCGTGGTCAGTGAAGCGATTCATTATAAATATGCTGCAGTGAAATGACTCACCTTTTTTTTTTGTATGCCTATCTGCATTTCAAAGCTGATAAAGTGGACAAAGTTCAGTTTCTTAGACTTGTGTACTTCAGTCTGTTCTGATCTTGTTGTGCTCAAGAGATATTTAAAACGACAATACGCTGTGCTAGGTATGTCCTATACCCTGCAGTGATCCGTTTCCTCCCATAGCTAATGTACATTGTTCCAGCTCCTCTGATGAGGCCGTTGGGTGTCACCCTGTTATCTGTGATGTGTACTCCTGTTATGTGCAATATGCAAACCAGAAATAAGGGAGGATCCTTTGGGGAGCCTGCATATGGAAAAGGCATGCTGAAATTGCCCGGAAGGATGTTAATTGTGATGGTGATTTGTGGTATGGCATCCCATCTGCTGGGAGCTAGATCAAAATCATGAACTCGCTTGTCAGAGAGCTGTGGAAAACCATCATCTGGCAATCACATTGGACACTATTGATTTGGGCACAGCCTGAAACAGGGATTTAAAATTGAAAGTCTCCTTGTCTTGTCCTTACCTCCCTTTTGTGAAATAGTATTAAATTTTTTAAAGGTACTGTTCATAATAATGAATGTGTGGAAATACATGTCAGCTACAGCAGCTTCCTCTCTGGTTGAAATAAGGCAGGAAGCTTGTATTATTGGCCTGACAGTTTGGCCAAACACAGCAGCTGAGTGTAAACAACAGCTGAAGGGAGGCAGATGAAATGCAGCAGAAAATAGTCCACAAAAAGTAGCAGCACAATCTTAAGTAATGGGAATGGGGCTCTGGGCAGGTGTTGGAGGTCATTTGAAATCTTTGCATAATTGAGGATATGGAGAACTGAAATTAATTTCCTGTAAGGCCTCTAATCTTATTGAGAATGGAGTTTCTTTACTGACTAATGGGAGGCAGAGCTCAAGGCATGGGTAGGACACAATAGGCAGTGTCAGATCAGATTTTCTTTGTAAGTCACTAGATGTATGCATGCAGCAGTTCTCAGTCAGTGATGAGAATTCTTTTTAAATGTTATTCTGATTTTATGTTGGGCAGCCAGAGTGCAGAACCAAATAATTCTGTGCAAACAGGCTGGAGAGGAATGATAAACAGACTGGCTTAAATCTGAAGGGATGATTTGCCAGTCAGGGACACTTAAGCGGTGCTTTTGTAGTACCTGTAAAAGCCTCAGATGAATGTTGTAGCTACCTCATATGCCTTCCTAGATCACCAGCTGAGAGACAGGGAAGTGGGCACAGGTTGCTTCTGCTGGAAAGGAGCACCAAGGGGTGCTGCAGCCTGCCATGAGCTTGGCCCATGGTTCTCAGGACCACTGAGCTCCAGCACTGTGTTCAGGATGAGGCTGAAATCCTGCAGCCTGGAGGTGTGGAGTCCTCAGTGCACTGAACAAGGGTGTAGGTGTAGCTCTGTCCCTACCAACATATTTCGGACCTGTCACGTGTTGCCACTGCTGTTGAGGAGGATCTTGAACAGCCTTGGCTGCAGTAGTAGTTTTGATGGCAGAATGTGCTGCTGGAGCTTGTGAAGGAGCAGCATTCCATCTGAGCTGGCGTTCTCTGGGGAAAAGCGCAGTCCAAGTGTGTTCTTCATTTTCGTTGGTCTTTTTCCCATGCTTATATTCAGAGATGTCTTATACTTAAGCTAATAAAGAGTATGCAGCTACTTGTAATTAGAGACAAACTATCTTCTTAATTAATACTTTTTAGATCACTGTATATTTTATTTTATCCTGTGCACACTCTGAAAACCCAAAATGATTTATTTTGTGGCTGCACTCCTAGTGTATCTGAGACACACTATCTCTTCTTTTTAGCAAAAGAGATTTTTTTATCAAATTAGTAAGTTTATTTCTTAATAGCTCTTAGGTTTTGCTTAGAATAGTTCAGATAGTCAATTAAGTGAACTGCTTTCTTTATGTTTTTTTTTACCTTGTATTATCTGCCATATATAACAGAGGTGTTATTAAGTCCATAGTGCAGATATTGTAGAAAAGAAAACAATAAATATTGTAAGTATTAGTCTTTGTTACTGTATGCATTGAAAAGTCCATGCCAACATGTTGCTGCTGCTAATACAGCTGGAGACATCAGATCCCTCATTACCAGGTTCTTATTTTTAAAGAAGTTGTACTCGTGCAGTAGTTGGTCCTGCATCTGGGTGGTTCTGAGAGCAGTGAGAAGGGTTTAGTTGATCTTTGTCACTTCCTTTCCCATAATTCTACTTTGTTCAAGATATTTTGGTTTAAATTATTCTTATGGAATAACTTTTTGGTTTTCCTCTATGCCTCCTGAACAATGTTTCTAGGAGATCTCTTCTGCTTTTCAGAGAATAACTTGACTCAGTTTCCACAAGGAAAACCACTTCTTCAGCCTTTGGTGTTTGTACGTTGCAGTGTTTGCATAAGTTGGAAAGCCTGCTGCTCAATTAATTTTTGGGTTAAAAACCTTATATAAGGCCAATAGTAAAGCTAAATAAAAGCAAGTAAGAGGATTTGGGCAAGTGCCGATAATGACTACTTCTGAAATGCTTTTTGTGCCCTCTGGAAAAAGAACTGGATCTTGTCTCTCACTGAGGAGGAAAAATGTGCTTCGTTTGGCCTGTAGGATTAGAGCAGGAAGGAAATGCTCTGAAACTCATTAATAGAGGAGATATTTCAGTTGAAGGTGTAGAATGCATTACAAATTGCTGTTCTCTATATTTCAGGATTCTCAGCTTCGTCAGAGTACAGCTTACAGTTTACATCAGCCTCAGGGAAACAAGGAACATGGCACTGAACGCAATGGTAGTCTGTACAAGAAGAGTGATGGGTAAGTCCTGCTGGATTCTGCTGCAAAAAAAATTAGGTCTTAAGAGCTGAAGCAATGTCATACTAAATATATTAAAAACTGAGTCACTTTTTTTTTCCCCTCCTCTTTAAACCAGAATCAGAAAAGTGTGGCAGAAGAGGAAGTGTTCAGTTAAAAATGGTTTTCTTACAATTTCCCATGGTACAGTAAGTATTTGTTTACAGTATTTTACGTACATGGTTGCTAATACAAAAAGGCAAGCTGTGCTGCTCTATATTTATAATTTGGTATTAGCTGGATTCCTGATGCAGTCTTGAATATGATGGATACATTTTTCTTAAGGCAGTCTTTCAGAAATGTATCGGCATACACAGTATCTAAAAATACAACTGTTTTAATGCCTGTGACTATTAATGGGGGAAAAATGTCTTTTTTAATGACTCATTTAGTTCATGTAAAGTGTTCATATTTTACCAAACTATCTAAAAATACAAATTCTAACTTTGTTTTTTTGAAAAGATATGGTTGGGTCTTAAGCCATTCTTTTAGATATGGGTTAAACAACTTTTTATCTTTACAAGAAAACTGAGAGAATGCTGAGTCTCCCCCAGATTTGCTGCTATGTGGTAATCTGTTCTGAAGTTAGCTTTCCTGGGGAGTAGCTGTTGGGGAAAATAACTCTGAAGGCAACTTATACCAGAATGACCAGATATAGTTAGAAGTCCCTCTTTATTTACTACTAATATTTGAAACACATTAGCAAACTTCTCATATTTATACTTAAAGTTTTAAAACTTCATGCCTTCATATTTTGGACCTTTTACACTTCGGTTTGAACTCAGTTGTTTTTGCTGTCCCATAACTTTTCATTTTTTATGTTGTTTTCTCAAAAATTTTTAAGAAGGTTTCTTAAGGCAAAAATCAACTCAGCGACAGTATTTCCCATTCTTGGTCCAATAAACAGTCCTGTTTCTTGATCCTCTTATGAACCGTTCTGTTCTTCATCCTGTTATGCCTGTTGCTATGACTACAAGTTGACCCTGACAGCAAAAATGAATCAATCTCTCATTTGTGCATCTAACCAGAAACTGTTGCCTTCTGAATTGACAACCAGGAGTTAAGGAAGAGTGCAGAACCAGGCCTGCAAAGTAGAGTTGTTACTAAAACTTTGGAATTCCCCACCAGTTTATCCCTGTTCCCATTTGAGTGCGTATGAGTGCGTCTTTGTCAGAGAAAAGTCTCTTAGTGTTTCTGTACCAGTGTCTTGCTGTGCTGTAAATGCCCTTGGCATTGAATGTGCTGTTGTGGTACCAGTAGGAGTGTAGCTAGGGCAGCTCAGGGCTGGCAGAGGCTACAAAATCCACTTGTGGAGCAGAGTTTTAAAACTTTCACATGCAAGTACCGTTACTGAGTCTATCAAGATACTGTTGTTCTTCTCTTTTTATAAACTGTCTACCAGACGGTCTAACATTTTTAGAAGCAGTAAGTTCCCACTGATATCAGGGGAGCTGTAGCTGGAAATCAGTTGGTAAGGTAGATACTTAAATACGCGTTTAGATATGTGGGTTTCATAGGTTTGGTCTTGATCTTTTTATATTACAAAATTAAAAGAGTACCTTCTTGTTTTAAAATACACTCCTAGAAAGTATTTTTACTTATTTGCTCACTTTCCCCTTATGTATTGATGGCAGTTTTATGTAAAAAAATAGTGCTCATTTCATAGACATTGAAATAGGTAGCATAAATTTCTGTTAAGAATTTTCTGGGCTGCTCTGAATATCTTCTGAGATTTCTGAAGCAACAACATTGATTTCCATACTTTCTCAGGGTTGATATCTCCTGGTCTCTAAAATATGATGTGTCATTCTCTCTTCCCAGCTGTTCATCAAAATGAACCATCCCTCAGAAATTCAGTTGTCAGTTTTGTTTGCTTTATCAAATACAGATTTGTAAATGCTTTTCCTTTAAAGGCTAAGTATTCTTCATGGATTTCTGTTCTTTGATCATGTAGCCTCTCTTTATAAAGGACTGTTTTTTCAGTTAGTTTCTAGAACAGCTATCTTCAGGCAGTTGCAGATGCTGTATTCTGACTTAAACTTTCCTGCCAAGTGCTCTCCTGATATGGGTGGGAAGAATATGGTTGGTTCTCTGTCAGTCACCCAGCTGTAATGCTGAATACACGTGTCTGCATTGACATGTGTGCAGAAGTTATACTTTTAGACAACTTAAAAGCTTCAGAGTAATTAGCATTCACAGAGCAATGTGCGAGGTAATGGTTGATGGAAAAACAGGCACTGCTCCTTTGTGTAATTGTTAGCAGTTGGAAATTTTCTGACATCTACCTGACTGAAATTTCATGTACGTGGATGAAAAAACAATGATAGAAGCAGATCAAACCATGTAAATAGGAATTTGTAAGTGGCTTCTGGATCAAGAAGTCCTAAGGGAAAAACTTACATTTGACGAACCTCAGATTCCTCAAAGAAGATTTGCATTTAAAGAGCTTAAATGGAATTTACTGGTTGTCTGCAGAAAAGGAATATGAGACACTCATTATCAAGGAATCTTTTTTTGTTCTTTCTTTACTGCTAGAAATTTTAATCTTCCATTATAATTAACTGGGTAATCTGAAGGCAAAATAATCAGATTTAATATTTTGATTCTTAAGTAAATGACTGTGATAGCCAGAAAAATGCACGACAAAATCAAACAACCAGTCTGTTAAGTGGGTACATTTGCTCATGCCTTTTGTAAAAATTAGCTATATATCGTGACAGTCCTTGGTATTGTCTTAGAGGCCCAGCCTTTTGATTCCTACACTTAATGTTTGTTGCCAGAACAGGTAAGAAGTCAGTTCTGGTGGATGAAGGGTTACGGTTTCTCCAGGAAGGAACACAAGTTGATGCTGAAGTCTGCGTGGGGATAAAACTAGGCTCAGTAGAGATGAGCCTGGTATGCCAGTGTTGGGGGTGATAAATCTATAGCCCAGCTCAAGTGCATCTACACCAATGCACACAGTGTGAGCAATAAGCAGGAGGAGCTGGAAGCCATCGTGCAACAGGGTGGCTATGACATAGTCACAATCACAGAAACGTGGTGGGATGGCTCTCATGATTGGAGTGCTGCAATGGATGACTATAAGCTCTCCAGGAGAAATAGACAAGGAAGGAGGTGTGGTGGGGTGGCTCTCTATGTTAGGGTGTTTTGACTGTATAGAGCTTGAAGTTTGTGATGATGAGGTCGAGTGCTTATGGGTAAGAATGATGGGGAAGGCCAGCAAGGCAGATATCCTGTTGGGAGTCTGTTGTAGACCACCCAAACAGAATGTAGAGGCAGATGAAGCATTCTACAAGCGGCTGGCAAAAGTCTCACAATCACTAGCCTTGTTCTCTTGAGGGACTTCAACTTACCAGATGTCTGCTGGAAATACAACACAGCAGAGGGAAAAGAGTCTGGATGGTTCCTGGAGTGTGTGGAAGAGAACTTCCTGACACAGCTGGTAAGAGAATCCACCAGAGGAGGTGCCTCACTTGACCTGCTGTTTGCCAACAGAGAAGGACTGGTGGGAGATGTGGTGGTTGGAGGCCATCTTGGGCTTAGTGACCATGAAATGGTAAAGTTCTCAATTGTTGGTGAAGTAAGGAGGGGGGGATTAGCAAGACCACTACCGTGGACTTCCAGAGGTGAAACTTTGGCTTGTTCAGGACACTGGTTGAG